AGTTTGGCTTAAGATGCAGAGCCAGTGGGTCTGCACACTTTCAGTTCTGTACTGAAAGATTTATTGTCCTGTCCGTGGCAGGGAGGAGGAGCCTACTTGGTTACTGGAAGGGTCAGAAATTGAGCTGTTGAGTGAAGGTACCACGGCAGAATACCGCGGTGGAACCTGATTCCATTTGGCTTATTTAATTTGGATTTATGGCTGCGTTCATGTCATGCTAATATGATTGCCTCCAGCCCCGGCTCCAGGCATTTGAAGACATTGCCTCTCAAGACCGAGGATAAGAGACTTTTAAATATCCACTAGTGTTTAACTTATGATGGAAACTTTTCATACTTCAATATTTTACCAACTTATACGACTCCTTTGGAAATCTTAATGATATGTGGCTGTCACTTTAAGTGAGGTACTTTGGCTTCCTGTTATGAATAATCCTTTTATTTTTCCTATGAAATTGCCAGGGAGCAGAGGTCTATTCATCATCACCCACTGTGAAAGTGTGCGCTCAGAGCCACTAGGGGGCAGTCTGTCTCTATTTTTTGTGACTCAGAATTTCCTTGACCCATATTTTGCTTTTGAACGTTCTGTGGCACCAGAATCTGGGGTTGTTTGCTTCCTAGGCTTGAGAACACCCCTGCAGCAGGGGTCGTCGCGAACATGTGACCTTGGTGTTTCCCAGGATACGTGGAGCTGCATCCGTGCCGTCGTGGAGTCGTTAATTCTCTGGAACGTGCTCTCCAGCAGGCCGCTCCCTGGCCACGCCTGGGTCCTCCCAAGTCGCTGTCCGCCAGCCTTTCGCGAAGGCGTGCAAGTGCGTGTGCTGATGGCGAGGGTGCATCTTGCTGGAGAAGGCTTGTGAGTGTAGGTCAGAGCCCAGCTTTGATTCGGGTCAGAGGTTCTGACCTTGTGGGGACCCCAGCACCCAGCTCCCGGCAGGTCGTGGAACTCCCACTGCACTGGGCCTGATCAGCCACTGCGGGGGCGCTGAGCTCGGTCACCCTGGGGGGCTGGATTCAGCCCAGCAATCCACGCCCACTCTGTTACGCCGTCTCCTTTTATTTCTTCTTAGATTTCTCCCGTTTTCCCATTCCTGTGATCAAAGTCTTAGCAAGAATGACTTTTTACCCAGAAATAGGTAGGAGTAAAGGCCTTTCAAACAGGTTTGCCTCACGAGTGGTTCGTGTCTGGAGTGCTGTTAGCTACCGCTTCATCCTCTCATGGACAGAAGACGGGAAGCTCTGCTGGCTGCCGGCTGTCCTGAAGTCGCAGCGACTGCCTCTGTCCTGGCCACGGCCCCTCCTCGCCTCCCTCCACCCAGCTCCCCTGCCTGCCTGCTCCTTTCCTGTCTCTGTGAGGCTGCTGCGGGTTGCTAGGCAACGGCCTCCTCCTGCCCCCCCTGCTCGCTCCTCCTCCAGGGCTGGGGCCCTCCCTCCTCTCTGGTGAGGGACCCTTTAGGCAGGCGTGTGCGGGTGCTGTCCGCCACGAACGCGCCCCTCGTCCTGCTGCGTCCTCGGCAGAGTCATCGGTGGGAGATGCCTGGGGACCCTGTCCAGGTTTCCAGGAAGGGCGCTGTCGGCCGCTGTGCGTCCCCGTCGTGCCCAGCGAGCGGAGAGCCCCGCCCCCCCCAGCCCTGTGCTGTCAGTTTGGGTTTGTGCTCTTCATGGTGTGTGTGGCCCTGCTGAGTGCAGGCGTGCGGCGAGGTGTTTTTCAGATAAAGGATCCAGTGACATAGGAAAGTAAAGGTGATAAAAACGCGAGCCTTCCTTTCTCTGTATTTCTGTTCTTTTTTGAAACGCCAGTGTAACTTGTCTCCTGATAAGTCACCGCTGGAGGGGACAAGTGGCTGCTCAGTGACACCTAGCACAGGTGACAGACACTGCGCCCCGCTCCCCGGGCCCCCCTTGAGCTGCTAAGTAGAGCAGGGAGGTAATGCTGGAGGTGAGAGGGCTGCAGGGTGCCTCGCGCTCCAGTCCTCGGCCCCGTCTGCCAGCAGGGGGCGTGACTGACGGAGGAGCAAAGCCTGTGGTTTTGGAGCCGGCCACGGGGCGGGGTGCTGGCGAGAGCAGAGCTCCCCGTGTGCCTGCCTGCGCTCCCGGTGCTGCGCGTCCTGCTCTGTTCAGCCCAGTGTGTGGGCTCCGCCTGGCTCCGCTGCCTGCTGCGGAACTCTCCCCCTGGGACCGCACTGAGCACGAGTTTTCACAGTGGAGGTTTTGCCGCTCAGCACACCCGGAGCGCTGTTGGATAGGTGCTGCAGGAGGGGCGTTCCACTCCCTGGAGGGGCCAGAAGGCAGGGGCTGAGTCCGCCTCAGGCCCTCCTGTGACGCAGCGGGACGTGTGACAGCCCTGTTGGGGTTGGAGCGCAGGCCCCTGCCTGGCCTCCTGAGGCCTGGGCGGCGTCAGGCGTGGGGCACATGAGCTTCTTGAAGCTAAATTGACAGAAAACTGGAGTGGACATTCGAGATTTCGTTGACAGTGGTTTCAGCACACAGAGACTGATTGGAGAGTAATAGAGTGTCAGGGAAAATTAGTAATAGAGTGTCAGACGGGAGGCAGAGCGCACTGCCGCTGGAAGCCACGGCGCCCCTGTCTCTGGCAGCCAGCACCGGATCGTGGGAACCTTCCCGTGGCCCCAAGCTGCTCAGCACAGCTGTGGAGAGCGCGTCTTGGGGTCTCCACACTGTCTTAAATCCCAAGGTGCGTGTCCCAACCGAGAGCCCGTGCTCAGCCAGGCCCCGGGGAGGAGCGCTCCTTTGGGGCGCAGGCCGGGAGAAGGGGCTGAGGGGACAGGCGCCGGCCCCGGGGTCTCACTGCTGAGCCTTGCTGGGTGGCGTCACGTGCAGCTGGCCGCGGCAGGGACATCACGGCAGATGTGACAGCGGCCGCAGTCCTGAAGGCGAGTGTGTTTTGTGGCACACAGGTGAGGCCCGAGGCCGAGCTGAGCCTCGGGTTTGCAGCAGGGGCGCCACGCATTGTTCTTTCCTCTGTGCAGACGGGGTCACACGATGCCCAGCGCTTGGTAACTTGCTCTTTCCCTGGAGACCTGTCTGGGCTGCCTTCCCACAGCCGCCTTCCCGTGGCTCCCAGCTGCGCAGATGTGGCAGCTTGCACTCAGGTGCCTGTCTTCTGAGTCCTGGTCGCCTCAGGGCTGCCTGGGGCATCTTACGTGTCCTGTGCACACCCGCTTGCAGCCCGGCAGCCTCGGCCAGGGGTGTGCTGCGGCTCGGAAACTGGGCTTCCTTTCTGTCGCACATGAAGTGAGGGAGTGCCCCTGGGCGGGAAGCAGCAGCTGAGCCAGAGCCACAGGCCACTGCATTCGCATTACGACAGAAAGACTTGAAGTCTGGTTATCATGTGGCCTGGATGGAGTTCCTCAGCCCTGCTTCCCTGGGGGTGTGGCTGTGTGTCCCCTGCCCCGGCTCACAGCGCGTGTCTTAACACATCTGCTAGGGCCTCATTTAGGCTTTTAGTGTCTTGGAAAGTAAAAGTGCAGAGCAAGTCACCATGTAAAGAATTAGTACCAGTTTTGAGAATGTGGGGGACAGCAGGCACAGGACCTTGCGATGTGCCTCGGTGCCACCGCGTCCCCAGCTTTGAGACCATGAGCGGTACGTGAGCCTCCTAATGCGCCTGATGCCGCAGCGTCCCAGCACCAGGCTCTCCCCGCCCTGAGGAGGCAGCAGGCCTGGCTCCTAGGTGCAAGTTTCTCTTTGTGGAGGATAATGGAGCCATTTCCTGCAATTTTCCTCCTTTCCAGAATCAGCCTGTGGAGCTTTCTGAGGCTTTATTTAGGGCAGAGCAGAACTTAACTCCCCTGGTTTCCTGTTTCATCCTTCGCTGTCCCAGGAGGGTGGGCAGCGGGCAGCTGTGCAGGGCCCTGATGTCTGTGGAAGGTGTCCAGGGGCTGGGCTGGGCATCCGCTCAGAGGTGACCCTGTCCTGGGAAGCAGTGCCCCCTGGAGGGTCTGCTAGGCCCCTGAGGAGGACCATTCATCTCCAGAATCTAGGCTCCTCTAATAGGTATTCAGGCTTCCTGGCAACCCTATGGGTGGGCTCCTAGGATTCCATGGGGCTGGGAGAGTGGGCACTGCCCGGGAGGTGCTGGGCCATGAGTTGCACCTGCAGCCCCAGGCGTTGGGGTCACCTGAGGTTGGGGGGCTCACTGCCTGTCCTGTACACTATCCTCGAGCCCTCCGCCTGGGGCGGCCAGCAGTGGCTCGGGGGACCCTGGAAGCCACTGAAGTAGCCTGGGCAGGTGTCGGCTGATGGGCCTGCAGCATGGTTCGGGGTTTAAGGCGGAGCTGCGCGGAGGGCTCCCTCCTCTTCTGGAAATGGCCATTTGTTGTGGCCATTTGTGTTCCGTTGTGGTCCAGAGTGGGGCTGCTGTGCACCGGGCCACAGCGCTGAGAGCCATAAACTCGAGGGTGGAGACGGCCCTGCCCGCACCGTGGGCCCTGGGCGTGGGCTGCGGGGGATTCCGGGGCGGGGAGAGAGGCACTGGGCTGACACTGACGGCATAGCGGCCGTGGGGTGGACGGCGGAGCCACGGAGTGACAGTGACTGCTGCAGGAGGGTGACAGGTGGCTGGGCAAGGCCTGGGCAGAGGGTCGCAGTTCTCAGAGGCCAGGTTATTCCGAAAGCCCCGCGGGGGTGGGGTCCATCTAGTCATGAGCCCAGCAGGGTGGAGACTGAGGCCTGAGGGTTGAGGCTCTACTCCTAGGGTGTCAGGCTGGTCCCCCCTCCGCCAGGTGCCCAGTGCTCACCTCGCTTGTGCGCAGCTGGGCGGCCCCCACTGGACGGGAAGCAGTGACTGTGAGGGTGAGGGTGAACAGTGGCGTGTGTGAAGGGACCCCAGATGGGTGGATTGGCACAGAGGCCCCAGTCGGCACCAGTGCTGCTGCTGAGCGTGTCACAGACTGGGTGGAGCGTCCATCGAGGCCCTGCCCGCCTGGGCTCGGGCTCCCTGGGCTCCTTAGAGGCTGATGGCCACTTGCTTCCTCCTAGGCCCGCCAGTGTCCGCACCCCAGGGCCTTGCTGCCACCCAGGACTCACCTGTGGGACCGGGGGTAAGTCCGTGCCTGTGGGGCCCACTGCCCAGTTCCGGCAGCGCTGGGTGCGAGAGGCCTCCTCCCCTCCCCATGGGGTCCCTGCAGCTTGGGGTAGAGGTGGGGCAGGGAGTGTACCTGGTCCCTGCCCTGAGGACTTCCCAGTCCCCCACCTGAGGACACGCTGACTTACCACTGCCAGGCTTCCAACCAACGCTTGCTGACCCCCTCTTTGCCATCTCGGCTTGTGCCAGCCCTAGCGGGAAGTGCTGTGCAGTCCCTGGTGGTCGAGTCTGGTGTGAGGCTCTCAGGACCAACAGCCTTCGTTTTGCTCTTGAGAGGACACCAGGGGTGGGGAGGATGCCTGGGGCCGCCGGTGCGCACAGCTGATGGTGGCTGTCACACAGTGTGCCCCTCTGTGCTGGGATTCCCTGGGTGGGGCAAACAGCTCTTCCTGGTTTGGGTGCTGCCACCTGGCTGAGCATGTGTGGTCCTGAGCTGCCCCTGGGGCTCGCCTGTGGCCCTGAGAGGCTTCTGCTGCTTCTTTTATTTTTTTGTCTTTTTTTGAGACAGGGTCTCACTGTGCAGTCCAAGCTGGCCTTGAACTCACTTCATAGCCCAGGCTGGCCTGGAACACGCAGCGATCCTCCTGTCTCAGCCTCCCGAGTGCTGGGATCACAGGCGGGCAGCACCACCCCTCGCTGTTTCTTGGTTTTGAGAGAGGTCCGAGTTTGCTTGTTCCTCCTGGTGACTTTGGGAAGTCAAGCAGTTCATTAGCCATGGCTGCTACCAGGGAGCCACGCAGCTGGAAGCTGGATTCTGAGCCAGGGCTGTGTCAGCCCAGAGATGCCGGTCTGCTGGACCAGCCCTGGGCCTGCCACCAGCCTGAACCAGAGTCTTCCCTGTCCAGTGGTTTCTGTGTCCCCTGAAGTGTCCGAGGCTGCAGGGCAGGGAAGGCTCGAGCCACTTGGAGGGGTAGTGTCTCTTTTGTTTGTTGGGCTTTTGTTTGTCAGTACCTGGGATTGAACCCAGAGCTTCCACACTGAACTACATCCACAGTGCCCCTCTCTTTTTTTTTTTTTTTTTTAAAGTTTTTTAGACAGTCTTTCTAGAGTGCCCAGACTGGGCTTGCACTTGTGATTCTCCTGCCTCAGCCTCCTGAGCAGTGGGGATTACAGGGACGCACCACTATGCCTGCTAGAACATCTTTTGTTTCTTGTGGCCATAGTTTAGAGTGCGCCAACCCCTCTCCAGTAATGGGAATTGAACTTAGGACCTTTGCACTGAGCTACATCCCTGCCCCTTTTTTATTTTTTAGTTTGAGGCATGATCTTGCTAAGTTGCCAAACTGGGCTCAGACTTGTGATCCTCCCGCCCAGCTGCCTAGAGTGCTAGGGTTGCAGGTGTCCACTACCTGCCGGGCTCCTTGTGGTGTTTGAAGGAAGCTGAAGGAACCCTGGCGATCTTTCCCTGTCCCAGTGGGTGCTGCCCGGTGCCCCTCTGTTTCCCACGCGCCCGCTGCTTCTCCCCCTCCAACCACTTGGTCTTCCTCGGGGCCAGCTGTGCCTGCTGGCAGGGCGCATCCCCTGGGCAGTGTGTCCTGGGAAGAGATGCGTGTCTCCCCTGGACCGTGGTTCCCACCCCGCCTCACCAGCCTTCCTGTAGATTTCCCGATGGAAGTATGAGCCTTCGTGGAAAGTTTGCCTTGTGCTGGGCACCGAGCCAGCCTTCTCCCGGACCCCACTCCCTGTCCCAGTAGCCCTGCAGTTCAGGGTGCTCCCTTCCAGGTGGGGAGGAGGAGGTGAAGAGTGATGCTCTGACTGCCCAGGCCATGGGTGGTGAGGGGTGGGGTGGGGCTTCCTCCCCCAGCTGTTTGTCTCCATAGCCAGCCGGACACCGGTGTGGTGACTGCCTTGGTGGGCAGGCTCCCTGAGCCTTGGGGATGCAGGTGGATGGAGCCCAGGGTGATGGAAGAGAGCCCTGAAGCATCCGAGCCCATCCACCCCTGCCAGGGAGACGCTTCCCCTCCACCACTTGCTTTTCTGTGTTGATCACTTTTCTATCCAGGTTGTCCTCCAGGAGAGGTCACAGAACCTAGTCTGTCTAGAGCCAGGATCAAGGAATTTGGGAATGGTTCTAGGATCCTGAGTAGCTACTGACTGACCAGGAGACTAGGTGGTCCTCCCTTGTGTGGCTGGATCATGAGCTGTGTGTGTGTGTGTGTGTGTGTGTGTGTGTGTGTGTGTGCCCCCGTGTGCACGCACCACGGGGCTTTGTGAGCTGACTGGGAACACTGGCGTGCCTCACCTGCACCCTCCTGCCTTCCAGCTGTCCCTTTCCCAGCTGGCGGCTTCCCCGCGGTCCCCAGCTCAGCGCCACTCAGTCAGATCCAGTCCGCAGCCACTGGACGGTTCCCAGCCCGAGCCGGTGAGTGTCCCCGGCCCCCACCCGAGCGCACGGTGGCCCCACACCCCCACTGCTGTGTGGAAGCCTGGGCCTCCCAGCCCTGCTGGTCCTCCCTTAGGTGACAGGGACTTTGGTGGGTTCTCTGTGCCATGGGCCTTGGGGCCAGGTGGGGGTGGGACACTGTGCTCCTTCATGCCTCAGGCACTTGCCACTGTGCCTCAGGGCCTGGCGTGGGGCACCTCGGTGTGGTGACCTTGTGGTGCTCAGATACTTTCCTTCGCCTCAGGGCATCTGGGGAACAGAGACCAGATGCACTGGCCAGGGCCCCGTCACGGTGAGCGTGTGTTTAGAAGGACCCGTGCTTTGTGCTTCCCCAGCACCTTTTGATATTAGTTTACGACCTCAGGCACCAGAGGTCTCCCATGGTACTGAGCTGTTCATCAGACCAGCGATTCTTTCTTCTTCTTCTTTTTTTTTTTTTTTGACTCACAAATCAGGTCACCATGTGAAATAAAGGATGCCCAGTTAACTGTGAATTTCAGAGAAAAGCAAATAATCGTTTAGCGTAAATATGCCCCGGGCATAGCGTGGGACACAGGTATACCAAAATTATCTGCTGCTCTTGTGAAATGGCAGTGTAACTGAGCCTCTTACACTAGTACAACTCGGCAGCGACTCCCCTCACAGCAGAGCATCCTTGGGGGGCTCAGCTGGGGTCCTCGGTGGCCTCACCTGGAGGCCCTCATTTTGTTCAGGAGGACTTTGCACGGGGGAGCAGGATCGCTCACCTGGAGACTGACCTGAGCCGGACCCCTTCTGTCCCGGAAACCGCTGTCACCGAACACTTGCAGGAGCTGCCCTTCACCCCTCTGCATGCCCCCATAGTCGTGGGAGCCCAGACCAGGAGGTGAGGTGTGGCGGGCAGGTGTTGCTGCGGGGATGGGACCAAGCGCGTGCCTGGTGGCTCGCCCGACTCTGGCCAGCAGGCTGTGTGCAGAGGGGGCTGGGGACAGTCCTGCTGTCTCCGTTGCCCTCTCCCGGGAGGCTGCTGGCTGAGGAGTCTTCCTGTTTCAGCGCTGGAGGCCAGCTCTCGAGGGCCACCATGGCTCTGCTGCAGTCCTTCAGCTTCCCGGAGATTCTGGATGCCAGTGAGCAGCCTGCTGAAGCTGTCAGCGCCGCAGAGCCCGTGCCGTTCAACCCTCAGAAGGAAGAGTCCGATCGTCTGCAGAGCAATGAGGTCGTGCTGCACTTCCTGGCCTTCAGCAGGTAGAGCCCCGCCGTTCCGGCCCCTGCCCCGCTGGGGGGCTGCCCTGAGGAGCGCAGGTGCGGGTCTGTCCTGGCAGGCGCTGTGTTCAGTGCTGCTAGACGGAGTGGTGGTGTCTGGGTTTTCACTTAATGAATGAATTAATTAGTTCTTTTAAGTTTTTTAAGTTGACACGTAATGCTTGTAGATATTTATGGGGCACATTATGAAAATGTGATACACGAGTACGACGCGTGATGATCAAATCGGTCATCAGCATTTCCATCTCCTTAAGCCTTTAGCGCTTTTTTGTGCTGGGAACCTGGAAACTGCCAGTGGTCTTCACTTCCTTTTGGCTGGGGCCCACTCAGAGACTTTCTGAGTGCCAGGAAGCCTGCTTTGCTCAGTGCTCTGTCTTTAATTAAAATGTGGACAGCATTTGCCTAACTCTCGGATGTCAGGGCAGCAGTGTGAGTGGCATTCTCCAGTCAGGAGGGCCATTAGGCCTGAAGAGGCCGCTGGCCGCCCACTGGCTCACGAAGGCGCAGTGCCGCTCTTCCCGTCGGTGACCCCATGACCTGGACGGTCTCCCTGCAGACGTGCGCGTCACTCCCCCGGGGCCCTGCTGTGGATGCTTGATTAATTCAGGACTGTTGTTGGATTCAGAGTGGCCCAGGACTACCGAGGAGCACCGTGGCCAAAGACTGTGTATTTCACCTTCCAGTTCTACCGCTTCCCACCCGCGACCACACCGCGCCTGCAGCTGGTCCAGCTGGACCGGACTGGGAAGACCAGCTCTGGCTCCCTGTCCCACATCCTCGTTCCCATCAGTAAGGACGGCTCCTTCGACGCTGGTAAGTGCTCATGCGGGGGTAAGTGCGAGGAAGCTTTGTGTTACTGCTAAAGAGGGTGCTGTGGAAAGTTGACCACGTGTACAGGATGTGAGTGAGTAGGGTGCTGGCCTGTGTCCCACCACCCAGCTGTGCCCCCCCAGAGCCTGCCCCAGACTGGGCTTATTTTGAAGCAAATCCCAAGTGTTGTTACTCCATTTGTAAAATTCGATTGTGTTCCATTTCCTTATGAGGCTCTTAAAATGTTGAGTCTTTTTGAAAAACGTGACTTCAGTATTCTCCCACAAAGAAACAGAAGGTAATGCCTTAATATCATCAAATATGTAGCCAGTGGTAGCATTTCCTCAGTAGCTTCCTAGCTTCTGAGAACAATTTGTTCAGAACTGAGGAGCGCGTGTTGCAGTGGGGCGGAACGCTGAGCGTGGCCTTGTGCTTTGCTCCTGCGGTGACTGCTACCAGCTCCAGTCTGTGCTTCTCTTTAATTTCTTTGCGAAGAAGCCACATTATCCTGTAAAGGCTCTGTCCCACAGTCTGGTTTTGTTTGTGTATCTGGGCAGTGACGCTGGGAGTGTTCCTTGGTCACCTCTTTTCCTGTAAGTTGGGAGTAAAGCCTGGCTGTGTGATCAGAGGCATGGTTTTGGTTTGGGCAAGAGTTCCCTGTAGCTGGTTATGTAGACAGTCTCTGCAGCACCGTGACGTCCCGTGGCCATCATGATCTTGCATATGGGTCGCTGTTGCCCGAAAGAGGTCACACCCCGCCTCACAACACCTCCAAGCGGCAGCCGGAAGCGTCTACAGCCGAAGCTTCCCCTGCCCAGCTGTTTGGCTGCCTGGAGGGGTTTGCGCGGGAAGGGCACGATGGAATGATGACCTGGCTCCCTGATGTCCCCAAAGCACGGGGCCAATAGCTCTTCCCCCTCTGGCTTCATTTAAACCAATGGATTTAAACCACAATGGATAAAAACATACCTGAGAAGTTAGTTTTATGGGCAGTTTTCCTGTCCTTTGGTCAGTAACAGGGCTTATCAGGGATGCAGCGAGGATCTGAACTGTGCCTCTTGCGGTCGACCGTAAAAGGTGAGAAAAGTTTGTATTCAAATGCTGACCCCAAAGGAAGTAGTTTGGTCACATTAACATTGGATAAAATAGGCAAAGAGCACCAGGAGGAGCGGCAAATGTCCGACATCCCAGCTACTCAGAAAGCTGGGCAAGAGGATCATGAGGCTGAGGCAAACCTCAGCTATTTAGTGAGATCTTGGCTCAAAATAAAAAGAAATAGGGTGATGGACCTTTTGCAAATGGAAAGAGGACCAAGAGCTAGAGGGAGGGGGTGGGAGGGGCGGAGGGGGTGTAAAGGAATTAAGATGTGTTGTGTTCATGTAACAACTTCCCACAAGGAAGGTAACCATCACATACCACAAATATGTACCAATACAAATGAAGTTTTTTTTTTTAAAAGTCCAACAAAGAAAAAAAAGGGTCAAAGATACAGCTTAGTTGTAGAGTGTTCGTCTGGCTTGTGCTCAGCTGAGTTCAATCCCTGGCACCAGGGAAAAAGAGAAAAGGCAAATGCAGTGCTAGAGATAAAAGAGGCTAGTAAATAACAAAGAAAAGAACTCACTGATCTGGGATCATAATTCTGAGTCCATGAGCTAACACAACCTCAAAATAGAAAGGAAACAGGGATGGACTTACAGTTGACAAACCTACCGTCACAGGGTGATTTTGACATACTTTTCTGAGTAAAAATAGATTAAAAAATTAATGAAGATGTTAAAATGCAAGCAAACTTGTATATCCATTTTAAAGAATATCCATTATTTCCAAGTGTGCTTGCAACTTAAAAACTGATCATTTGTATGTTTTAGGCTGCCAATCAAGTATTTCCCTCTTCCAAGAGAATTGATATCAAATGAATTTTTATAGCATTCTCTGACCAGAATGCCCCATCGTCAAAAATCTGTCACTCCCTCCCTCGCAAATGCTTGTAACTGCTTTTTAAAAAAAAATTTAAATATACTTCAAAAATACACTTCTGTGGCAAGGAAGGTGGCGTATGCTGGCAATCCCAGCACTCCTGAGGTAGGAGGATCACAAGTTTGAGCTCAGCATGGGCACATTAGTGACTTATTGAGAACATGTCTCAAAAATAAAAAAGGCTGGAGATGTGCTCAGTGTGAAGGACCTGGGTTCAGTCTTTAGTACTGAGGGATCAGTGAGGAAATCAAAGTAGAAATGAGTAATTATTGAAATCTAAGAACAGTATTGCACATCAAAACTTAGGAGATGCAAGTAAAATGGTTGTACTAGTCAGTTTTCTAGTTTCACTGTCACATTCTGCCCCTTGTTCAACCTGACACCCAAACGTATGGGTGTAGACTGTACTTCTTCTCCCAATAAAGACAATGATGAGTTCATAATTCCACCTAACTCACCTGATTCCACCTAACTCCATTCAACTATCCTGAGTGGAACTGAAGTGCAGTAATCCTTTCCCTAAAGTTTCAACAGTTCCAACATTGCTCAAAAGCCCAAGGCAAAGCATCCTCAGAGACTCAAGGCAGATGCTTAGCTGTGAACTTTTATAAAAAACCAAACAAAAGAAAAGAAAAAAAGCAGTTACATAATCCCCAGGTGCAATGCCTAGGCAAAGCCCTTCCTCTCCAAAAGGGAGCAATAGGGGGTAGAAAAAAATTGGACCAAAGCAATACTGAAAGCCAGCAAGGCAGACATTAAGTCCTGTAGCTCCACACGCAGCGTCCAGGCACGTGGTGGTGAGATGTGCATTCCCGTGGGTGTGGGGGTCCTGGTTCTATGGAGTGGTCAGTTGCAGCCCGTGCAGCCTCTGGCTTGGGCTGGTTCCTCTCACAGCCTGCAGCCATTCCACATTCCTTCCACCTCTGACTTCTTGGGATCTCTACTGCACCTTTGGCTTTGTTCCCACAGCTTCACAGACGCAGCTGTTGGGTCCACTGTCAGGCCTCATTTTGAAATCTGGATGGAAGCATCCCTGACCCTACAACTCTTGCATTCTGCGTGCCTGAGGAAGTAGCACCATGTGGGCGATGCCCCTTGAGCCATTCCTGCAGCAGCCTCTGAGTGCCTGGATGTCTGAGCATGATACAGTGAAAGCTGGGAACCAATTCCAGTGGCCCTTGTCTAGCAGAGGGCTCGGGGGCTGTCTCTCAAATGAAAGGTTTATACTTTTGCATCCTTGAACCTATAATAGGTGGGATCTTGCTGATTCCTGAGACATCCTCAAGGCATTTTTCTTCTTGTCCCAGTTCAAAGTAGTGTCTTTTAACTGACACTAATCTCTTCAGCAACCACACCTCCTTTGGCCCCAACTTTACATATTGTTTGTGGGCCAAAATTTACATTTTTCAAGCATTTCTGCTGTTTATTAATCACAATTCTTACTGTAATTCTGGATAAAAGCAGCTAATGATGTTCATGCCACTGTCTGAATGTAGGGCTGCCTTGAAATTCCTTCTGTCAGATCATTTAGTCCATATCCCTTAAATTCAGCCTCCCACAAACTCTCAGAGTACCCAAAAATGGGTAAAATGGAGGCAGTTTTTTTCCAGAGTGTGATATATATGGCTTCCATTCCAACTTCCAGTAAAGTCCAGACTGTTCCCAACTGAAACCTCCTGAGCCTGACCTTTACTGCCCACATTCTTATCAGCATTCTGGTCATCTGAATTCCTACCATAATTACCCATCCAGCTCAGCTTAGAGCATTCTAGGACTTCCTTAGCTAGCATCTCCAAGCCTTTCCAGATTCTTCCTGTGAACCAGTTGTAAAGACTTCTGAATCATATGGTATAGTCACAGATTCCGTTTCTGTGGTACCGGTTCTCTGTATTAGTCAGTTTTCTTGTTGCAGGTACAAAATACCTGACACCTGTAGCTTGAAGGAGGAACAGTTTAATTTGGTTCATGGTTTCAGAAGTTTCCATCCACGGCTGGCTGGCTTCAAGGCAAGAACATGTGGTGAAAGGGCATGACAGAAACCAACTACTCTCTTCTTGGTAGTAGGGAAGGAAACAGGATAAGAGTACTTGAGTGGAAGGGGCCAAGACCAGATATGGGCTCCAAAATCCTGCCTCCATGGCCCGTCCAGACACAGCCAGAAGTAGGCTCTACTAATCCTGTAGGCGGCTCCCAAGCTAGTTAGGTTGTTGGCCCTGCTTAACTGTTAAGCATACACATAGGGAATTCATGATTTTGATTATCAGTGGTGGGGAAGAAGAAAGTGCCCTTCAAGAGACAGGTTCAACTCAAGAAACCTGGGAGAAGAAAACAGAACAAAATCAGTGAAAGTAGAAGGAAAGGAATTTGAAAATGCGCATAATCGCTTAGAAAACACAGTAGAAAGGATCGGCCAAATGATCCACGAAGGGAGTCAGAGGTTACCACTGGTAACAGTGTTTCTTGTCCATGGTCAGAATTAGTTGAGTCAGGTGGTAAGGATCAAAATGCCACTGTCCTTTACATTTACTTATAATGAAGTGGTTGTGAGTACATGGTTAATCTGGGAGCCCGCTGGTGCCCAGCCCTGAATTCCGTGACAGCGGCGTCCCTGGTGACGGGCACCAGCAATGGCTTATACTCTGGGGCCCAGTGATGCTGTCCCTGTAGGTCTGTCTCAGACTCCAGCATCGCCTTCTGTGCAGACCTGGGAAGGAAAGTGTGGGGAGGACCAAGGGGCCTCGGCTGTCTCTCTCTCTCACTCAGTCTCACAAGCCGCTCCTGCCTGGAGGGGGAGACGGGGTGGAAACAGGACCGGAGTCCCTGCCTGGAGCCGTGATGCAGCGGGAGGGACGTGCTCTGGCAGTGTTTGCTGCCCGTGCTTATTTCTCTGGCCTGGCCATTAAGTTTGCAGCCAACCTGGGTTGTGGCTGTTGTCCTTAGGGAAGGATCCAGCTGCCCCCAGGATGGCTTCCAACCTTCCAGGGGTCGTTTCTCCCAATCCAGCCACCTTCCTCGGTTGATCTCCC